AGTATTAAACAATAAGTAGAAGTAATAACAATTTTTTTATTTGAATTTTTTAGAACACTTTACTTATATTTAATAAAACTTTTTGAAAATTAAAAGTTTTGATTGAAATAACAGTTATTTGGAATAGATATTTAAAAATAGCAATAGCAAAACTATTTGTTACTCAAAAAATCGTGGATTATACATCCCTACTCGGAGTCCCACGGGTCTTTTCTGGTACCCCCGGTTGGGTTGGGAGACGTCACTTTTTTCCGTACGTTAACAACGGGAAAAGTTACGTCTCCCAACCCAACTGGAGGTACCAGATAGAACCCCCCAGATAGCACGCACACTTGCAGCAAGTGTGATTTTTCTTGATATTAGCTTGTCATGACATACTTGATGCGACAACTTTGCAGCAAACTTCCTGCTAAGTAACAAAGCATAATAGACCAACCCACTTGTAAAATGAGTTTGGTGTGAAGTTGATATCTCACACTTATACACCACGACCTGGATACAGTTGTATATATTAGGGATGTATAATCCAGGATTTATTTTTGAGTAACAAATATTTTTAATAGTTTAGTTATTTTTGAGCAACAAATATCTTTAATAGTTTAGTTAGTTAATAGATAGCAATTTTCATTTGCAGGAATCTTGCTCTGCAAATCTGCCATGACAACAGTGCCAAGCTTGAAACAAGTTAGTCACCACGCGTCAAACTTGTCACACGCTTGCGGCGTCAAACTCAGTGCAAACTATGGCGCGAGCGCAGCCTCGGATTCGAAGCCGCAACATCTCGCTTCCCAAACCTGTCGTCCTAATCATTCATCTAGCTAGACTTTGAGAGGAGAAGATAGATTGTGCTAATAGATCGCGTATACGATTTATTTTAAACTGTTTTCTTGATGTCATTAATTTTTTTAATTTTGTGTTGAAAATATGATTTGAAGTACAAGAGAGAGCGATTTTCGCTAATAACTACGTTTTGCTAGTAGAATAAATTATGAAATTAGGGTTCAAAAGTAATTACTTTTAAAATGGGACAAAATGTAATTATTTTTCAACAAACACTGTCTGTTTTTATAGGTTTAATTTTGTTTATAAACGTTAAAATTTCAACATTAAGAAAAAAGCGAAATAGTTTTTGTTCTATAAGCAAAGCCTGTGAACCGCGCGCTGAGCTGTAACTGTAGTGCGGTTTGTTTTATGTTTAGAATCTTATGCTTGTAACAAGTGATTGTTGTGTGTGCGTCAATAAATGTCATATGTATTGAAAAGCTGCCTAGTTACATAACGCCTCAATACGGAAACAATACAGTTTTCTTTAAAGGGCGAGTCCTATATTTAGTAACAAGATGGAAAATGCTTCAAAATTTTTTCTTATAAAAAAGTTAGTTTTTTTATTGAATTGAATTAATAAAAAGAAGGACGGTCTAGGAGATGCTATTAAAAATCAGATGTTTTTTAAAAACAGAGACAAAGACTATATGTAAGTGTGCTATCATCTTTGCAGCAATCTCGTTTTGTAATCGTGGTGTGAAGTTCGTCATAACATCTTCACAGAAAACTTGTTTTGCAATTGGGTTGGTCGATTATGCGTTGTTACTTTACAGGAAGTTCGCTGCAAAGTTGCCACATTAAGTTTGTCATGACAAGCTAATATCAAGAAAAATCAAACTTGTTGCAAGTGTACATGCTATCTGGGAAATAGCTATTCCAAATAACTGTTATTTCAATCACACTTTTATTTTTCAAAAAGTCTTATTAAGTATAAGTAAAGTGTTCTAAAAATTCAAATAAAAAACTGTTACTACTTCTACTTATTTTTAATACTTTCTATTAAGTTTTAATGTTTAGTTCTTTGTATTGTCAACAGATGGCGCCGGCAAAATTTCTTATAGAAAGAGATATTGGAACTTGAGTTCACGGATCACAATCTATAGTAATCAATCACAGAAGTCATATTTCGACGTCACAGTGGCAGTTTTCGGTGCGATCACAGTACGGGGTCTTTACCGCGACTGTTCTTTTTTATACAATTACCACGATTCTGTCAATCAAAGAGAAAAACGAATACTTGCTCCTTTGAGTTTCCGACGAAGCTTCGAATTACAAAAGCGACGTTATCATTCGAGAACGCATATCACAACAAGAGGGGTGATTCACAGAAAGACGTCTTAAACCACGATGGGGGGGGGGAGTGCGAAATGTGATTTAATACCAGACGAGGTGGGTAGGGTGATCTGAGCGGTAAAGTGTGACTTGCTTATCTGGAAGGTCGCCGGTGAAGACTCTGTTTTCCCTGGGTGGGTTGTGATTATGCCCCCCCGTGTGGGGAAGGTAGTTCATGGTTTTGAGGCGCCATCTGTTGACAGTATATAGAACTAAAAAATAAAACCTGGCAAAATTTTATTAAAAAGAAAAGAAATTAAAATAAAAAAAAACGCTTTGCGTACATTTTATACAAATGACTGAATCACACCTTTTCGATAGTAATATTCATCACTGGTATTTGAGATTTTTTAACATTGCGTAGAAAATAACAGTTCGTCAAATATTCGTCATCCCTAGTATATATCTGGTTTTTATCTTTGTCTCTGTTTAAAAAAAAACATCTGATTTTTAATAGCATCTCCTAGACCAGCGGTTCCCAACCTTTTCGGTTTTGAGGACCACCTGTTGTGTAAAAAGTATTTTGAGGCCCACTGACTAAATATGCAAGTAAAAAATATACAAACTCATATAATGCATATATACAGGGTGTGTAAGAATTGTGAAACACATTTAGAAAATTAATAAAAATTCGAATAATATCTATTACAACTACGGATTTTTTTAAATGAGAGAGCAATTAAAAAGTTTTCAGATAGGTAACGCGGCGTTACGGGGTTCTAAATTTGCTAAAGTGAGAGAAGTAAGTACGCAATGGCTACCGTTCGGCAGAAGCCGATGCGCGTTTTCTGGTTTCCTTTCTTAGTTTTTCTTCATTATTTCGAAAAATATCCAATTTTCATATTACATGCGAGTTAACAAATTAAAGAGTGTAAAATTCCCTACAAATACATCTTTTTATTTTTCTTTTAGCTTTAGTATTTTCGCAGATCTTCTTCTTCTTTAAGAGCGTAACAACCTGTCGCAGGTCTTAGCTGCCTCGACAGTACGCTTCTTCCAACTCAAAAGATCCAAAGCAACTCTTTACCAGTTTTTATTTTCAAAATTTTGATGTCATTTTATGTATCGTCCATCCATCTTGTTGACGGTCTGCCCCGGGCACGGGCTCCCCCGGGGTTCTTGAAAGTGTACAATCTAGTCGGGTTATTTTCGGGGGTCCTCCAGACATGACCGAGCCATCTCAGTCTGTTACTTCGAATGATTTGTGTAACCTGGGGCTCTTTGTAAAGTCTATAAAGTTCAAAATTATATCCGGTTCACCAGCACCCTTGTTCTTGTACAGACCCGAATATAGTTCTTAACACTTTTCTTTCAAAAGTTTCCAGAGCTCGCTGGATGTCTACGTTTAATGTCTAAGTTTCGCTGGCATACAGCAGCACAGGCAATATAAGTGTCTTGTATAATCTCATTTTAGTTCTTCGGCTAACAAGCCTGGATCTAAATTGTTTTTTTTAATCCAAAGAAACATTTGTTGGCCGATTTGATTCTGTTGTTAATTTCGGCTTTCAACATGTTTTGATCGTTAATAATAGTTCCAAGGTATTTGAATTCACTAACCATTTCAAAGATATGACCATTTATGCGAAAGGGGTGTAGTTCCCAGTCGAAGACGGAACTTCCATAAACATTTTCGCAGATAATGGCTCTCAAAAATGGGAGATTTTTAATAATTTAAAGCCACCTAGACAATCATAACGACGCGTTTCCTATCTGAAAAACTTTTTGAAATTCACTCTAATTAAAAAAATATAGTTCTAACATTCTTAGGCTTTTTTATTATTAATTTTTAAAATGTGTCCCACAATTCTCGGACACCCTGTATATTATATGCCCGTATATGCTAATAATTAGTGAAGCTTACTATAAAAGGAATAAAAATATATTGTTTTATAAAGCAAGGAAACTAGAGAAAACTTTTGAAACTCCCCTGAGTAGCTTTTCGCGGCCGACTAATACGATATCCGAGACCCACAAGTGGGCAGCGACCCATGGGTTGGGAACCACTGTCCTAGACTGTCCTTCTTTTTATTAAGTCAATAATTCAATGATAATTTGTGGAAAACGAACTAGGTCTATAAAAAAAAATTTGAAAAATTCTCTATCTTTTTAGAACTCGAACTTTAAAGAAAACATATCTTCTTTTTCTTAATGTTGAAATTTTAACGTTTATAAACAAAATTAAACCTATAAAAATAATAAATGTTTGTTGAAAATTAATTACATTTTGTCCCATTTTAAAAGTAATTACTTTTGAACCCTAATTTCATAATTTATTCTATTAGCAAAACGTAGTTATTAGCGAAAATCGCTCTCTCTTGTACTTCAAATCATATTCTCAACTCAAAATTTAAAAAATTAATGAAATCAAGAAAATAGTAACAGAACAGTAAAATAAACCATGTAGATGAACGATCTATTAGCGCAATCTATCTTCTCCTCCCCTGAGTGGCTAAGGCGACTGGCTATGAAGTGGGTTGTTGAGGATTCGAATCCGAGGTTTGTCTGCGTACAGTGTTTTTGCTATATTTTGAAATAAGTTGGACGCGACAAATTTCTGACAAGTTTGACGCATGGTGACTAACTCGTTCCCACATAGCAAAGAAGGTTGCGAAAAGGTTGCTATTTCACTTTACATAGGCTGTCCCTTAAAGCATTTTCTAGCAAACCGTTTCGGAAACCCTTGCCGCAAGGTTTACATAGGAAAGCTTTTTATGAACTACTTCGCCGACAAGGTTTGGACGACAAGTCCGCGAAACCATTTCCTCACAAACTGTTTCGGAAACCATTTCCTCAAAATTGACGTAGGAAAGCTTTTCATGAACCACCTATCCCATCATGTGTAGTCCTGTGCGGTATAGTGGTTATTACGTTTGCCTTCCAACTCTATGAACGCGGGTTCGAAGTTTTGTCACAATCTACAACGAAATCGTACAAATAAGTTAAATTAAAAATTAGATTAATCAAATGAATTGAAATTAATAATCAAGCTTTGATTAATTAAGATTCCTAATTGATACAATTAATTGACATTCCAGATAACTCTAAGTTGGACTAAGATGACGTCAGAAGAAGGGGGATAGAAAGAGGGTTCGACCCCTCTGTAGGAGTACTTCTTCGGAGGGGGTGTTCTATTTTGTCCGCCGAAGGAGGGTTCTTAACAACCTTCTGAAAGGCCTGAAACAAGCTTGTAATAAAAGCTTGGGTAAATCTTACTAAAAACCTTACAGAAAACCTTGTTTCTTGTTGACTAGCAAACCTTTCCGCTACATCGACGAAAGGTTCAACCCTTGCCATGAAAACCTTTGTGGCAACCCTTTACTCTTGCTGACGACAAGGTTTCCAAAACCCTTTAGACAAGCTTTCTTTGCTATCTGGGTTTGCGTTAACTTGTTTCAAGCTTGCACTCTTGCCGTGTCAAACTTACAGCAAGCTTGCAGATTTGCAGAGCAAAATTGCTGCAAACTGAAATTGCTATCTGGGGTATCTTCATTTCAATCAGTTTTGTAGCTAAATTAATATCACTTTAAAGCAATAGATTATATGCAGACAATAGATTTTAGAAGATAACTTGTTCAACGCTTTTGAAACTAGTGTAGCATTGTAACCATTCTTCTGACGTTGAGGGTTACCCGATTAGCGGTAGGAGTGTAGTGGAGTCGGGACGCCGTTCTGGCACTGCTTTTTCTTTTACGAAAGATTAATAAGAAAGATTAACCCCCTTTAAAACAGTGTGATTTTTGTCACCCAGGTTAGAGCGTTCCGGTACTGTTTAATTTGCAACTACACCATTGATTAGTGGGCCCTGGTGGTAGAATATAAGCCCAGGTTCAATATGCGATTCCATCATGTTCACAGGAAAGGTTAGATTCCTCGAGGTCAAACATTCCCAGTGACGGACTGGCTCTGAAAATAATGGTTGCCAGGAGATAATGGGTTCATTCACATCTGCAATGCTATTCATTTATATATGGACAAGTTTTCTGTTTTGTTTATTGCGGTAAAGTAGAACTTCCGCTTTACCCATCGACTTCCACTGAAAATGTTAAGTCAATGGGAATCTTCAAAATTTCAACACTGTTTGAAGATATTAATTAATGTTTAAAGGGGAGTTTTGAGCTTTGAAAATATTACATTTCATGTTCCTATGGAGAAGTTTTCTGTTTTGTTTTCTTACATTAAAAACCTTGAATTTATTTTCATGGCTTTTGGAATACCACTTTGAAGATTACATTGACTTAGCATTACACCGGAATTAGGCAATCACCGCATTTTAATGTAAATAATCAGAACAGAAAACTCGTCCATTGTTGCAGCTCCCAATGTTTACTTAAAATAAGAACCTAATTTTATGGAAAGGTTGCCATAATCATTCTTTATCGCTCTTTTTGGCGCTTTGTGTAACTCAAGAGAGAGGTTATTCGAACTTGGCGCTTTATATGGAATCCAATTGGATTTGGCGATCGTTTAAATTGGAGGGTTGCTGGAAAACGGAAGTGAACCCTCACCACGGAAGTTCCATGAAAATAAAATAAACAAATCAGAAAACTCGCCCATAAGATATATCGTTTCACTTATTGTTAATATATTAAATAAAAATCAGTTAATATAATATATTTCTAAACTCAAATCAGCTTTTGTAAAACTATTTGCTATTTTGTGAATCTGTCTTTTAAAAGGGGCAGGGAATTTACTAGCACAAGTTTTACACCCTCTCTCTCTCACGCACACATATCCTTTAGTCTTGTCCCAATCAGATCGGCAATAGTTTAGACCATCTTTTGATGTCAATTTTCCCTTGTTTTTTTAAGCGGGTTGAAAAGAATTTTGGAATGAAAAGTGGAAAATAGCCTTTGCAGATGAAAATCCGCCAAACTCCTTTAATTAATCAACACACATATCCTAGGAGCCCATATTGTCTTATGTATAATAGGGCTCACTTGCCATCGGGCAAGCTGGCCAGTCGGCCACTGAACGTTCCCCTCTGGTGTGCCACGGAAATTTGACGAAGAAGGGATACCTGCTCAGGCGCTATCCTCATTATCTGGCCACAGTAGAAAATTACAAGTTTTGTCCTAAAATAGCCCTCTTGTAATTTCAAAATTGGACGTAATATAACAAAACTAAACATTACCCTGTTGAGAAAGGATTATGGACGCTGACATTGTATTGAATCTGATATTAAACTGACATGAGATAATTTCTTTCTCGATGCAGTAATTTATATGCGCAATAAACTGTGCTTTAATCCAAAATACTATACATTCAAGTTCATTAAAGTGCTTTATGCAATGCTGGGTATTCCTTAGAAAGGGATGGAAATTCAGTTTATTAACTGATAGACGAGACTCTAGAAATTTCGATTATCATGACTTACTGTAGTGTCTCTCCTCAGTCTTACTGCGATCTAGTGTGGAACTTGTAAAAAAAGTATTTTACTGTCTTGCGGAAAAAAGTTCATTCACTTGCCTAAAAAATGTTCAGAAAATGCCTTTTATGTAGCGAAAATTCTTACTTTATTTTAGCAGCTTTGGTCGGATATTGATTCAGAGGCTTCATGTTCGAATGGGACTCTAGTGGTACTTCTAGTGGTATTGTCCTAACTCTAGTGGTACTACGATATTGTGCCATAATTTTACGACATTGTTCAAATTTGGCAATATTGTAACAATGTTGATGAATATTTCCTGTGGTAATGATACGGTTACTAGTAATGATGTTGATAGCTCTCAGCATAAATGAAAGACTGCCATGTCTCCAAGAAAAATGATTTTTTTTTAAAAATTTGGTTAGAGAAACCCTACTTGCAATGAAGTCAGGCTAGTCTATTTTTTTAAAACTGTACTAGCTAGTAATTAAAAATTATCTTTTAAAAACCTTTTCCTTTACTTTGCCGTACTCTGTAAAACACAAAATTTTCTTTATATGTATATATATAATAATTATATCTAAAGTAAATTATAAGTTAAAATATATTGTTCTAACATAAAATAAAGATAAATTTTGTAAATGTTTTGCAAAAAGCCTTAATTTTAACCATAATATAAATAATTAATGTAAAGCCAAATAATATATGAATACTAATAAACGAAAACAGAGCTATAGTCATTACAAGACTCAAAATATAAAAATTAGTACTTCGAAATAAATCTAATAAATCTTCAAAACGGCAATCCAAGTTTTGGAATTTCAACATTTAAAATGGTAAATGTATATTTATATATTTATTGTAACGAAAGACAAACTATTCCTTTATGTTAAATAATTTAATATCTTGATTTAATGCATATTATAAACAGTTTATATGCATGATACTAGCTGCGTGGCCCGGCGTTGCACGGATTATCTCGAATAATGTGTCATTCCCTGCTTCAGAGAAGAAATGAGGTCACGTGACACATGCCCAACATTCTTTCCTAAATAAATAAGGAGAAAAGAGCGGTTCAAACATTCCGTCTGCGAAAAGGCGTCGAAATCGACTTATTTTTAAAAATTTGCAAAAATACAAAATTTTTTTATTTTGTAATATATATATATACACCGTGTCCTGGCGAAATGAATGGTCTATCCGATTCCGGGTTTATTTTTTGTCTGACCTTAGTATGGAGGGAAGGAAATAATCCGGCGTTTCTCGGGATTCATATTTTTTCATATGCCCGTCTCCAGTTTATTTTTCTACAAAGATATTGTCTTTTTTCTTCTAGAAATATTTCCTTTGAATCCTACATTTTTGAATTAAAACTTTCAAACCAAGCCTCTTTATCACCTTAAAACTGTATAGTTTGAATGCAAACACGAGAGGTTTGGAAAAAGAAATTTTATTTGATTTTAAACTTTTAAACAGTAAAACGTAGAATAATTAATACAACTTTAAAATGAACAATTATACTTCCAAAGTTTATAAATTAAAGCACAGTATTCAAACTGACTCTGACTCCAGCATAATTTTTAACTGACTCCTCGACTCGCCTGATGTTATTAAAAAATGTAACTACCATTTATTCGAACTGAAGTACACACGCATGACGCAAGATGCACTGCATACATAAAATCTCAAATTAAAACCTTACGGGAAACAACATTTTTAGTAAAAACCCTATTTTAGCGATTTAATTTTCCTTGTTTCTTTGTATCAATTACCAAGACCTGCACACAACGTCATCCATATTCCGTTATAAACTTCCAAAGTTTATAAATTAAAACATAGTAGCATAATATTTTGTTTTGTAAAAGAAAAAATAAAACGAAATTAAAAGCATAAACGAATAAAAATACAAGAAACTGATAAATTAAACACCAGAAATATATCTTTTCTTCTTGCCCGTATTTGAATAACAATGGAAAAAAGAAGGTTAGCAAAAAATAAATAAAATAAAGCGAGAACTGATAAATTAGACACCGGAAATAATAATTTTCTTCTTGCTTCGGAGTCTCTGCTCAATAGATGGCAGCACTATATATTCATTTATTTCGGCATTTTAAACTAACATCTTTTTTACTAATTATAATTTCGGAATTTAAATGGTCAAAATGGATTCCTTGGATTATTCCCCATCTTTTGGTATTTTCGGCGCGCTTTTCCGTTCAGCGGTTCGTGAGAAGATAGCGACACATACAAACATACAGTCGAATTTTAATAGTGTAGATATATGTCAGATTAATATCTATCTGTTAAAATATAATAGAACCATTCCATTCAGGGTCGTTTTTGGTCATCTCCGCAGCGTCTGGTCAAAACACCACAACTCCTAATCAACTGGACGAAGGCGCGATGAAAGTTTTTTTATTCCTATCTCCATCACGCGGGGCAGTCTCAAAAACGGAGAATCGAGGGTGAAGCCATTTTCAGCTGCAATGGGACGAAGAGGAAACGTGCAGTCGGCTCTAGTGGGAATTTTGCAGTTTCGACGTTATTTTATATATATATATATATATATATATATATATATATATATATATATATATCAGATTTACAAATTTAAGGTAACTACATAAAAGAAAAATTCAGGGTTATTATTCGCTCAAACTGAAGAGGGAAAGAATTCTTGAATTTAGGAAAAGAATGGATTCTTAGTTGGTCGGAAAATCTTAGATACGTGGTGGGATATTC